TGTATAAATTAAAAAAAACGTGCTTTATAATTTATAATAATTTCCAGTAGGATATATATGAAGGGCTGCGGGAGGAAAAAATCAATGTCATTTTTTTTTAGAAAATGAGATTTTGGTATCAAATTATTTGTATTGACGTATTGTATCTTTTATGCACTCGAACCAGTGAAAAAAACAGATTAGTCGAGAGTAACGACCGCCGGAAGTTTAGGCATCTAGCCAAAATGTATTACGTTTTGAAATAAAAAACATGTTTTTCTCAGAATGAAAGAAAATTGACATTGATCTTTTTTCCCCGCAGCCCTTCATATGGTTTACATTAAAATGTGAAGTCAATTAAATGAATAGCACAGCACGTAGTATAAAACAAATAAACCGCCAATTTTAAAAAAAAATTACACTTTAACTGTAGTCAATTTCATAGTTGCTATGTGTGAGTGAATCAACAGCCAAGAGGTAATGAAAATATTTTCATTATATTGTTATAACTATACATGGGTAACTATGGCAACAATACATTTTTGTAGACAGACGACCAACCCTAATCGTATCCACCCTAATACTAGAAATACGATTTTAGGCACATAATTGTTGTTATTAGTTACAATGCTTTTATCGAAATTTGTATTTTTATCTGTAAACACTGGACCTCCCTTACTTACTACTACTACTACTTCTTCTACTCATTTACGAATAATACTTTCATACTGTGCTGGTTAACACTGTGCTCGATTTAGACTTCACCAAATTGAACCTACTATCCACAGATTCACATTGAAGCGTCGAGCGTTTATTTAAAAGTTTTTTTACCAATTCCAGTTATAACACTTTTTGTAGACCTGTGACTTCCACTGTATTGGCTTTTTTAATTATATAGGCAAATACAATGAACAAGGTGATTATTATAAAACATATATATTATATATATACCATTTTTACTTTTGCTGGCATTTTCTCCAAAACTATTTTTTAAGGTATCATTATTTCTGTATACTTGAAGTCGTATTTCAAGTTTCCAAGAAGATACGCTTAAGTTTAATTGGAGCTCCGTAAATTTTTGCGGGTTGAACTTTCATTCTTCGGAATTATTTTGTATATTTGTATAAGAATCGTTTACCGCCTGTGGTTTTGGATGAAAGCCGAAACTTAACGAATCGTAATATAACTCTTGGTTAAACCACGAATAGTTTACAAATGGCGTTGGACAAATATGCAAAACGGCCTATAGCTAAAAATATTTTACCATAATTTCCTAAATGTTTAAGTTTTACTCTAAGGTCTAAACAAATAATTGTATTTGAATTTAATCAATAAAATATTGAAAGCACTACATCAGCGGAAACTAAACTTTGGATACTTCAAATAATATAACTAGGTCGATTTTAACGATGTTGTTTTTGTTTTTGGATACATTTCTTATTTAGTGCATTGGTGTATGACTAACTGTTTGAACAAGCATACAAAACATCGCGTTTTATATGAAAGGCTGCCGGGAAAAACAATCATAGTCAATACACCCAAAGTCTTCAGTATTACAGTTTTAAAGTTTTAGAACTAAAAAAAGACTCGGAGATAAAGTATAAGATAACGCAGATAAAATGATATTGTTCTTGAACTATATTTATTGACAAGTTTACTATACAAAATAATCACACTTATTAATATACATTTTAGAGGGGAAAAAAACATGAATGAAAAAAAATTGATAAGTGTCAATGATGAATGATGATTTTTCCCTTGCAGCCCTTTATATGTTTTCTTTTTAATTCGATAAATAACACAAGTTAAAATGTGTTTTCAATGTTTCCGTGTAAGAAAGTACATAAACAATAATTCAGAAAAGTAATTACAATGATAAAACCATAAAATATAAAGGTCTTAAATAAATATATAAAAATCAATTGTAAAACTATTCATGACCAGAAGTCATGTAGCCTACAAAATTTGTAGGTACCCCGAGACCAATTTGCAGAAATGGATGTAAATAAATACATGACAAAAAAAAATATTTTTTTTTTCATAATAAACGACTATAATGAAAAGAATCTAAAAAAAGTTACAGTCTTCTTAAAGCCTAACGGCTAAAATTATAAAACATGGAACATGCTTTAGCCTGCTGGCTCCTGAATAGTGATTATTTCTGATATATAATCTCCTTGCGAGGAGATAAACTAGGTAGGAAGTTTATAATTATTAAAAGATTGTTCGTTACTGTTTACACATAACAAAACTAACGACAGAAGAACCGTCGGTGGATTTTCCCAATAACATATTCCACACAACACATATTTTTATCAAGCACATGACATGTCTACCAATACCTAATATAAATAATTACTAAATAAGTATAGTTGTATTTTTTTATCTAGTCTATCTCAACTATTTATTTCTAATTCTGATTCCTTCCCTTATTTTTCTACATTTATAAAATGTCTATACAATCGCGGGTGACAGGTTCATTATTTATAATTATAATAGATATAAATCCTAATTCGTTTCAATAATTATTATACGGGATTTAATGTTAGAGGTAACATACCCAAATGGAGTTTCTAATGTTTGTTAAATAAATAAAATAGTGAAATATATTATAAATATAGCGAGAGTCGTGGACAAAAATGTCCTGGCTAGCCAACCACATTGGTATTGGATTGGCTTAAATGCGATTTATAAAAGACAATTTCAGGGTATAAAAACATGTTTTAAAAAGCATGAGGATTTCAAATGATTTTTCAACACATTGTTGTGTGCTAAATTCCAAATTTCTAAAATTGTTTATGTGGTTTTGTATTGATATAGAGAAGTGTTGTGTGTGCGCTATTACACATGTGTTATTCACATCGATACGAAACTAACAGAATAAGACACCAAAAACAACGAAAATTAAATTGTGTAAAAGTGTGTTTTTACATGCAATACTTTAAGGTATTTTATATTCTAACCGCCAACGCATGTAATAGTAGGTATGAAAAATCTGGGTACATACATAGACCGTTATTAAGTATTTTTATACTATATATCGACACGAGTTTAAGGTAAATAAGACGCAAAAAAAATATACTACCAGCTGTGTGTTGTTGTTCACACTTTATCGTTTGTTACAATATACTGTAGCGCATTTCATAGAACGAAAATCCTGAGTACACAATAAAACCTAACACATTATCAAAGGTAAACCTAAACTTGGGCCTCTCGTTAAAGAGTTCTGTACACGTTAGAAAATAATCGTTCTACTCGTTAACATTTTTACAGATACAAAAAAAAAATATCTAAACCAAGTACAATATAAATAGGCACGCCTAATCAATGTTTTATAAACAATTCTAATCAATCCGATCGTTTTCATACAAGATCTAATCAAAGTTCACGTTTGAAAAACCAGTCAATTTTTTTTCTATTTTTCTCGGTTTTGTAGTATTTATAAAAGTGGTACACGAGTATTTAGGTCCTCAGGAAAAAAGTTATCGTGTCTACACACACAAAGAAAAAAACACATTGTTATAAAGCCAATAACTGCTTGCTATTGCATAGAAGATAAAATTAAGAGCTATTTAAAGAATACGATATTTTTATTAATTTGACTGGTACTAGTTTTCAGTTTATAGTTTTGGAGTATTTGCGTTAAAAGTGTGATCACTATTCAGGAACTCGGAACCTACGAAAAATATCAAACAAATTGTTTTTGAAATGAGAATGAGGATGAGTTAGGATAAATATTTATCCCCATAAAGTACCTTCTTGATATGATTTCTTATCTATATACTTGCTACATACAGTAATCTGTTCAGTGGTTTGGGAGATACAACACCTTCTCAGCTCCTTGTAGAATCTAAAACCGCCAACTTATAGGTAAAAATTACAAAAAAATCTGCGAATGGTTTCCGTTAAAGCCTTCAAAATAAATATTAAATAAGTATTCAAAGTTTATTTTAAAAAAAAGATGGTATAATAGTACATACATTGTACATACTTTACCCATCTAAAAAGTCTATATACTAATATTATGATTATACGTTTTAGTAGTCATAATGCTGGTGGTTTTAAAATAACAATCTAAGACCTAAACTAAAACATTTTAGTTAAAATAAATAAAGAAAAGCTGACATTTTCTTCTTCTTTATATAAAAAAATGTTTACATTTGCTAAATTTCAACATTGATGAATTCTAAGTGTCGGTTATCAACTTTTTTATTTTGTTTCTTGTAATATATTTTAGTCTTCTAAATTTAATTAATATTTTAGAAAGTTCAATAGAGATAAGAAAAAACAGTATATTACTTAACAAGATAACTATTTACTCATTTGAATTTATATATATATATATATATATATATATATATATATATTGTAGATCGACACTCTTATTAAATATTGAAACACGTACAAATTATTATCGTATGCGTCATTAACTTGAATAAAATGTATTGTTAATGTATTGTTATTTACACTAGCATTTATTAAGGCGCATTGTATAGGCAATTATTCACTAAATTTTAAAATTAAACTTAAATTTTTAAACGTGCATATTACCATAGGAAAGAAGGATCCATTTTAATATTTAATTTTTTTTTTACCTTTTACAACGCATATAGGATCTATTTTTGCATAAAAACATATGTTTGTACTTCGAACAAAACTTACCTAAAAATACTACGATTTAATTTTTGAAAAAATATTTTAATTCTTCATAACATCGATCGTGACATAATTATAAACATGTTTTGTTAATAAATTTTTTATGTTTAAAAAAATTAAAAATTGCAGTTTTTTTGCATTGAAATAATTAATTAACTAAAAATAATATTAAAATTATGCCACGATCGATGCCTTGAAAATGTTATGAAGAATTCAAATATTTTTTCAAAACTTCAATCGGAGTACTCTTGAGAACAGTACACTGTACATTGGAGAAAGGTGAGTAGAATGAGTTGTTTTTTAACAAAAATATGTAGATGAGGAGTCTCCTTAAATTCAATCCTAATAGGTATAAAAAAAAATAATCAATTGTATAAAACATATAATAAAACATTTAACCAACAAATGTAAATTATTAGTATTAAATTGAAGTAAATATATTTTATAACCATAGTATGTTATTTTAATACATGGATAAAATGTATATAAAAAAAGTATGAAGTATAAAAAAATGTAATATAAAGACTTTTGAATTAACAATTATATTAGCCAAAGTCGTTCGATGTTTCAGTAATAAAAATATAAAAATTGATGTGCATGCTCTTTTCTTATTTCAGTCTTTTTTATTAACTTCTTGAGATTCTGTGCTGTTCTTGGACAATCGCCCGAAATTCAAACCAAACACACCACCTTTCTTGCTATTTTCCGTTTTTTTATCATTTCTGTATCGATTAATGTAATAAATATATATTTGTTAACCACAAGTTATTATTTACTGTAACAATTTGGCATACTTTTATCAATTTACACTTACCCTAATTTACGATCTAAACTGTTTACCAATTCCGATCGCATGTATTTATCAGTTTCAGCATTTACTTCTAAAAAAAAAAATAGAAAAAAATGTTTTAGTTTTTAAATGTTTTAACAGTAGTTGGGATACGAAGTAATACTACTTACTGCAATATGGCGTGAAGAAACCGGTAGACGCGGTGAATATACCTCTGGCTGGATATTCGTCAGCATCCAAACCCAAAGGAATGCATTCTTCGAATTTACATTTTAGTACTAACGACGTTATAGACTCCAATTGACCGATAGAGGCCACACTATATATATATTAAATTAGAAATAATATTTAAATTAAATAACTGTTTGGAATTTTTTAGTTACCCTCGAGACGTTGTTACGTGTACTTTACCTGGTGATCGCGCTCAAAATTTTAGCTTTACGTCCCCAAAATGTGCATTGGTCTGCTGTTAACGATTCAATCCAGTAGAGATAAGATCGACCGTGTGAACAAGCTACCCACGAGGACAACACTGAAATCCAACAAAATTATTTTTTATTTTAAAACTGTATCTTGTAGTTTATATTATTGAGTATATATTGTAAACTACACACACACACACACATTTATACATACGAGTACATCGTCAGCCTATTAGCAGTGGGTGTAACTCCAAAATACCAAATTTTACACTAAAATTAAAAAAAACCTTAAATTTATCCTATTTATTTCAATAACAATTGCTTACTGTTTATCCTACATTTCATGGGAAAAAACTGAAATATAATCTTTATCAACAAGCCGACGCACAATTTTTGTTATTTCAAATACCTATTTTTTTTTTTTTGGAGATACGTCCTTTGCTAAATAGGCTGACAATATATACTCAATGGTTATATTATATTTTGCGCTGTTATGTTAAATATATGTTATTTGCATCCCAACTAAAAAAGTTAAGACTTTCGATTTCGGTAACGAGCATATCGATTTAAGCATTGAAAATATTCTCATATTTACGAATATTCATAGTCCTTTTCCAGAACCGTCAACGTGACGAACGCTGTATATTTTTACTTTTTGTTTGAAAATGATATGCTGGAAAAGAATCTCGAGAGAGCTACCCTCATTAGGGAATCGTACATACAAGTACAAACGTGTCAGCGGGATCGCTTGTTTTACAAATGTTAAAAAATGTGTTCACTATAACTCGTGTCATGTATAAACGCTTTTTTTTTATAAGTGAAATTTGTATAAATTTAATGAAGACAGTGTCGTAATAGAGAAAACAATACTACAGTTGTTTTTATAAAATTACTTTATACTCAAAACGTGACGGTAAATCTAATAATACCGCTATTGTTTTAAATAAAACAATGTTTTTTTTGGTGGACACAAATAATAATTTTACCTAATGTAAAAAAAATAATATATAATATGTACTTATGCTAATAATTTAAGGCGTATTATATATGCAAAACAGGTACACAGATGTATACAAAAACATCACTGCCGTCGGTTCTAATGGTTATCAATGCTACCTAGTAAATATATTTTTTAAAACATATATTTTTATTTTATTTATAATGTTTCACGAATTTTAAGACATGATTCAAGTATATCCTGAGATAACTCAAATTAAATTATAGTTTTATACGTTTGATGTAAAAATATAATTCGGCAAGTGAATAAAATTCTAAATGTAAGTATTATGTCCCAGGCGACATATTCAATTTTATGAAGAAATAAAACCTTTTATTCAAATGAGAGAGATTTAAGGATTCAAATCTATTTTATAGACAATAGACATATTTTGATTTTGGTCATGAAAAATCTTAAAATAAACATGCGTAGCCCCCGAAAAATTTTGCTGGACAAGGTTATGAATGAATCATGATGTACTATATTTTATAGTGAGCATATTTTCAGACAACTGCAATAATTTATTTATAATTCAGAAGACCAAAACCTAAATTTAATTACCAATAATCTAATATAATACATTGTCCCGTTACTATATTATTAGCAATTACCATCCACTGGAATAAGGGCCAAATCTGAAATACTTGTTAGCTTGATGGTGTCGACTGGGGGTAGAGTGCAACCGGGTTGGACAAAACCTCCGTTCATGTACACGTCAACGTGACCTGAAAAAACCCAGGTTTTATTTTAATTACAAAAATGGTAATGTTTCCGTATGGTGCCTTTCTTACCCGCTGTACCGATGAGACCAAAACCCAATAAAGGAATGGTGGGTCGGCAGCTGGTATGAATCACATCAACAAAGTCTGCGTCGCTCTTATCCAGTTTAACTGATACGGGACATCCCTCGAAACCCGGTTGGGCAGGATCGAAAGCAGTTATTCTGGCAACACCGGAAAGGGCTTTAGCAAAGTACGACGAAATGTGAGCACCTAAGCTATGTCCCATTAAGTGCATCCGCGAAGTTTCCAGTCCATATTTTTCAATTAAATATTTGCCAAATCTAAAAATGTTAACAAACATATAAAACATGAGCTTAAAAAAGTTCATCTTAAGGACGACGGTAGCCAACCTGGCCAATTCAGCACCAACGATTCTAGTGTTGGAAGCAACTTGTAAGTAATTAACACTGGATGCACCTTTACCCCAGTCTACAAGGAATATGTTGGCGTCACGCTACAAATAAAACATCATTAAAACGTCCATTAAAATACAGTTTGTCTTATAATAGTAGTACAACTAATTCGACTGATTTTTAAAAAATATGGAGCGCCGTAGAGTAACATGTTAATGTTTTGGGTGTTTTTCTCGATTTTGAAGCGTATATAAAGTACCTTGCAAGTACAATTTCTGATCTATAGAGATGCCGCACGAAGAAATCTGTTCAGTAAAGATATTGTGGGTCCAGATACAAACAAATATTTAAAAAAAAAAAAACAAATTTTTGTAAAAACAATACCTTCAATCTTCACAGATCCGCATCGACTAACTCATCAAGAGTAATAGTGTATGTTAGTTTTAAACAAAGTGAGACTATTGAATACAAGTGAAAGATAATTGTTAAAATATATTTCTAAAATACTGCATTCAGTATGAGAGAAAATTCCATAAAATAATTAGTGTTTCTCATTACATTTAAGATAAATAAATAGTACATATTAAAACCCTTTTAACATATATATATATATATATATATATATATATATGTAAAAAGCTTTAACATAAAACATATTTGTTTTTTAATAGTCCAAATTTGATCGTAACAGTAAATACAAAAACCCTTTTAATATTATATTTGTTATAAAACAAGTTTCTTATAATCTTTTTTTATGGAGTTCTTATTTATATTTTAACTTGATAGCGGCCGCGAAAAAATATATCCTTTTTGCGAAAAAGACATTTTGTTGAATTATTTATTTCGGTCTATAATGCTAGTATATTACGCTCCTAAAAACTCAAAAGCAATTCAGGCTTCATTCAACTTTGCAAGAAAGTCTTAAAATAATTGTCAATTATTTGGAGAGTTGTTTTAATTTCGGAAAACCAATTTACATTGAATATTATAAATTGGTACATGTTTTACTTGACTTAATTAAAACAAAAGTAGAATTAACCGTTTTCTCTATTTTTACATAATATATTTTAATAGACGTAGTTGCGACTCATTGTGTTTTCGGTTCCTAAAAAAACTACATGTAATTATTTTTGATTAATCATAAAGGCTAAAAAAAAAGTGAGTAATTAAGTTGTATTTACTCACGACGCAGAGTGTATATTAATTTATTTTTCAAAGTAAACAATGATCACAATGAGGGGAGAATGCTCGTTGACCCACAGGACACGCCTGACAAACTGCAGAGTGGCATGGGCTGGTAATAATTTGTGTTTGTGAATGTTTGCGAATGAACATTTCAGTCAGGCTCGCACACACAAACATAAATTAACACACAATGCATGCATGATGCATAAACTATTAAACGACGTCGGAACACAAACGAATATGTTTATTATTATAACAGTGTGTGGTTAAACAAATAGCGGCAGCAGTAATACTTGTTAGTTCAGAATTACCGAAATAATATCGGCCCTAGACTTAACCAAAGATAATTAAATAACGTTTTATAATAATTCCACCGATGATGCAAAAAATATTAAAAATGTTGAAATCTTCTACCGTGCAACATGAAATGCCAAATATTTTCAATGCTATTTTTTTTCGAACTAAATTATTGTTTAAATACAACAAAATTATTTCAATTGATATTAAAACAAATTTATCTTATGAGAATATGTTTTTCCCTTATTTCGGATAAAACTATACGCGAATAATGCCAAACTTTGCTAGCATGTTTTAAAATTTATAAAATATTGACACCTTGCAATAAAACCTAATTAAAAAATTTAGCTCATTGGAGTCTGAGCATAGCAAGGACAGATAATAGTGAAGTGGATGTAGTAACAATACTGTAGAAATGATTATAACTGAGAGTTATGAAATCACTCATCAATAAAACGATTCGATGCGAATCTGTTGTTAGTACAAATATTAATTGCTGATATACGAGTAAATCAATGTAAAGGAAAAAATATGCTTGAAATTGTATTATTAGTATTAGTATAGATACGATTAAGGTTGATCCTCTGTCTCTATAAAGGTATTATTTTAGTACTGCGTCTATGTATTGAATACTATGTGTGCACTTACATGTTTCAGATAACCATCTTTAAGGTCGGCCAGCCATGAGCTGTTGCCATCACTAGAGAATCCATGTGTAATAAATGCTGTATAAGGTCTTTTCGGGTCAAAGTCTGATCCTTCCACAGACATGTTAGGCCACAATTTTACGTTGAAGCGATCTGGTTGTTTCCTGTTAAAAAAAAAAAAAAAAAAAACAGAAAAAAAATGTTTAAAAAAGTAAATCAACCTTGAGATATATCATAATGTAATATTCACCTTGTGTACAAGTACAGTTTGACATCAATTTCGTCTGGTCTCATCGGCATAGGAAAAGGTCTAAGAATTGAAACCCACGGATAGTCCATCGGAAAGCAGCCGAGTTCATCAAAACAACGACTCTCGTTTCCGTATCCTGAAATTAAAAAAATGCCATTTCAACTTTTTTCTTACAATCGTTTATAATAATTAACGTAAGCAGTTATGATTGCACGTGTCGTGGTTTGTGTAAAATATAAAGTTACTTTACAGATGACGGGGTAATATTTTAATGCAAATAATTATAATGATAATACAGTTTTACATTTTGTATATAAACTCAATTATACGCTTAGTTACTAACAGATTAAAGCGGTTGTACGAAATTTCACGCGCCAGTAATGTTTATAATGAAACAATATTATTTTACCTAAAACCTTTTCACAATATTTAAGTATAATCTTTGTTGTATTATTAAGTAATCGAAAATAAATTTACATGTTCAAGCTAAACTTGTAATTTTAAAGTAAAGTTTTAGCGGTTAAGCCGATAACTTTTTTTTATTAAAATTATTAGCATATGCAAATATAGTTTAGCGAAAAGAGACTATATTATTATAATGTTATGTTCATCCGCTTGTCCTACTCAACCACACTTTCTTTACGCGTTCCCCACACAGTATAACTCAAATTTTTACTAAAAAAAAAAAAAATAGTGATCGATCATCGGTTATATTTCCATTAAACCACAGTGGTCGTTATAGGAATTAATGAAATTTAGAATTCATTGTTGAACACATTGCATTATTACTTGTAATTGTTACCAACAACTTATTTTGTCGTAGTAGTCGTGCCAATAAGCACTGTAGTCTCTTACCGAAACTTGGTGATACGCATTGTTGTAAAAGAGCTGCACGAACAATATTATCTGCATCTTTTGGAATCACACACTTGGATTTGCTGATGATGTCTGATATGGATGTCTTTGAGTAGTCTATAATCCCAGCCGCCGTGTCTACTAACCTGGATACTTGACCTTTGATACACCCGCCCGTCATATTGCACGTTTCTTTTACTCTGTCTATGGCTGCTTTATTGGTATCTTTCACTTCGCCTATCGCACTTAGTCCAGTATTTTTAGCGCTGTCTACTAATAGAAAACCCGCATCATGAATGTTGCTCAACATCGAATTATTCCTCTCATTAGACGTAGAGTTCTCTAGTAGGGTATTATTTCCAACAGTAACTTGATGGTTTGATCTGCCCAATGGATTTCTCAATCCCAAAAATTGAGCATTACCTAGAAGTAGAATAATTATATAATCAATAGTAGTCACTAGCAGTTTGCTCTAATTATATTTTTCTGCACTTAATATAATATTTATCTTAGAACTAATGGAGCACCCCCTCCTCCCCCACGAAACTTACACTGCATGTCTATTACGATGAAAATAATGTTTTCAAATTTCTTTCGAAATTCTTTTGACAATGGTCTTACAAAGTATATTTCGTTTTTTCTTTACTCTTCTTTTTTATAGTATCTTCGGTCATCAAAAACAATTGTTAAAAATCAGTTTATTATGTAGAATAATCTGAGATTTCTGAATTTTTTTTTTCGAGTAACAAGAAGTCATTACAATTGAGTTTATAATCTAAAAAGTTGATTTTTTCGTGTTGCCCAAAACTTGAGAATTTTTGCAACATGTTTTTCAGACAACTGAGAAAATTTTACTCAATGTGTGTAAGTTTCAAATTGGGTTCTCCATAAAAACGATTAGAAAACCAGTAAAAAGAGGCGATTCATGGTGAGATCGAGGTGATGTCATAAATATAGGAATATAGGAATTATTATTAAGTCTGATACAAATAAAAGCACATTTAAAACAAATTCTATCTACAGTATGATCAATTAACTTTATTAATAAATTATTCGAGTAAACGGGTTTTATGTAGGATTTATAGGTAAGTTACATAAAATGTATCATACAAATGTTATATTTGTGATCGATACAATGTTAGGTAAAACAAAATTTGACGTAAACCACTTTATAAAATATTAGATTTAACTGATATTTAAAATTTAAAAATTGTTGTTTGTTTAAAACATTTATTACGCCATTTTTTTGGCCGTCTTTGTATAACACCTATGTTAAATATTAGGGTAAATAATGAATATCTTCGATTGGTGACACATTATTTTATTTTAAAAAATGACGTTATTTTGTCAACTTGCTCACAAATGCATATTTTTTATAAGATTTTTTAAGACCTTTTTTTTGTTAATTATCCATCGAATAAAATATTTTTTTATGCAACTTCCCTACTTCTTTTTAAATATGTATTTGTTCCACATCGTATTAAGGTGTCCATTAAAAACTAAACACTAGGGAAATTACATAAATTCATATTCAAAAAGTAATTTAAATTACCTACACGATAATGAAGAAACATGCATTAATTTATTTTAAAAAGTGTTTTTTTAATAACTAATTATTTAACAAAGTAATTTAATTGTTTTTATCAAAATGTCTTTAATGAATTTCACATTTTTTTTTTATGGTTTATAACTATTATAATATTATCTTATTTAAAAGAATAAAATACGGAAATGTCTGAACCTATTATCTAATGAAAAATACTTACCTTTTTCATCATGTTATAGTCATGTTTCAGTATCGATAAGTTTTTTTTAATTTATGTACTACTCATTGGTGCAACTAGAGGGAGGTGCTGAGAAAAGTCAAATCCTTCTTAACTCATTCAGGCTCTAAAATAATGTCAGCAACAAAACAGACGCATCACCCAAGTAAGGTTTTTAATTTTTACTGAAATTCAGAGGGAGCATTCAGAGTTCTAAAAACGTCTGAACTTCCTCAGCACCCCCTCTAGTTGCACCAATGATACTACTTATGTATTAAATAATAGAAAAAAATTAATTTTAATATTATAATGATGATAACATTTTCAAAAAATCCAAAATTAATAAAAGTTGTATTATAATGGAATGAAAAACAAAAATACGTTTTTATTTACGATCACACAATCTTAATAATGTATGTATTTGTATAACAATAAAATACAATTTTGCTTCATTCCAAAGAAAATACGCCTTTTGACCCGAGTATTTTTTTTAATGAAGATGGCGATTTTGGGTCTCATTCCTTTTTTTTCAATATTGTAAAATTTATTTTCTGAATAAAAATATGTTTTTAGTTTATATTTTTATTTGAACAAAATATAATAACATAAACTTTTAGATTTTTTTTAATTTTTCTTTTAGATTTTTTTAGAAAAAAAAAAATATTTTTTTAAACTATATGTGTTAGTTTACAAATTAAAACATTATTTGGAAAAAACTCAACTCAAAATCTCAATTTTGCTTGGGGATATTACAAAATTTGTATCTACGTGGCGCACTCTGTATAAACAAAACGGTTGTGAAATTATATAATGTTCTCTGTTTTCGTGATTACCATAAACGTACTTTGATTTTCATATGGATCAAAAAAGTTATGGAATTTACAATTTTTTAAAATACTATTTCAAAATTGCGGTTGTACTTAATAAGTACAATCACAATAAATCTTACATTACAGTGCGATGTAAGATTTATTAATTATAGATACTGATGTCTAAACTAGTTTTGTGTAACGGTCCATTAAAATCGATAACACATACTTTATGGCTGTATTTTCCTTCACATTAACGTTTAGTATTTACAACCAACGGTGGAAAAATCAATATTAATAGTTCAGCTATTTTTATAAAATTGTAATGTTTACATTGTAGTAGCACGGTTATTTAATAACTTAAATAAATATAACATATACATAGCTGCTGAAATGTATGCATTAAGAAAAGAAATTAAGTTTGGAAATCGGTTTTATAGACATTTCACGTAACATTATATTATGCACTAAATTATAAACAGCTATGTTGTACATAAATAATGTGTATATACGGATATGTATGTGCAGAAAATCCTCAATTCGGAAAAACCTCAGAGAGAGCAAACATTGTTTAAAAATCAATCTCGTAAAAAGGCAACAAAGTTTAAACTAAAATTGTAAATTCTTTTTTTTACAAATGTTATTGTTTTTGTTTAGTATAGTTGATATCCTATGATAAAAAATGTATGAGTAAGTTTTAAGAGAAATAAATTAAGCTATACGTTCAAAAGAAAAATGTCAAAAGAAATAATAACGGCATAAATATTTTTAAAAAAATGTACTGTTGGACCATAGATAGTTAATGAACTTCTTAAGTAGGTAGGTCAATACACAACACATAACTCGTGATTTTTAAAAATATTTATAGAAGATCAAAATAAGAATTACATTTTTAATTTAATATGCCTTCATGGGTGTAAAAATAAATGTATTTCCTTCTATATTTGATATCTAACAATGCGCTATACAGCGTAAAATTTAAAAAAAAAATAATATAATATAAGCGTACACTTTTCCAACATTATATTGTGTAAGAGAATGATTATTTTAAATTAATTCGACTACTCTTTCTGTTATTAACATACTATATAGTATATATTGATTGATGATAATAATAATAGTACAATTATTTTAGAACCTTTGGTCTGGCACTGTTGATAGTATGTAATATATATTTTAAACCGTGTATAATTTGCACTTACATTTGCTCTGAGCTTGCAATGTCACAAGGGCGAACCCGACCAATGCCAATGTCTTGAACATATTTCGGATGACTCTCATCAAGCAGCAGTGGCAGCAGTAAAAAAGAAAAACGCCTATACGCGGAACACCGTGATCGACTGAGTGTACGAACCGCGTGTGGGATATGAGTTGATCTGTTGTTTGGAAGTGCGACCTTAGGTTCAAGTTGATCAGGTAGTGATATCAATATATCTCTTTTTTTTATGCCCGCGTAAACATAAAACGAAGGAACCGCCTCTTCAGCAATAACAAAGCGCTACAGATATGACAAAATTGATAGGTAATTTTACTTGTAAACAATTTAAACACTTGATTTTTTTTTTTTAAAAATGTGTAATATATTTTGTTAAGATTTTCGTCATCGTGCGCAGAAATGCGTCCCTTAGGGCTAGCGTGTAAATAGTAAATCATTTTATACGCACACCCTGTCTTAAATATGATATTTTTCGATTGTAAAAAAAAAAAAAATTGTGCCACAAACGATTTCGTATAGTAGTAATGAAACGTATAGAATAGAATATTACGTCTAGCCTGATTACAGTGATTGACATTGGCGAAATCCAAAGCAGACTCGTTTGAGTGTAAATCATAACAGTAATTATGAATCATGACATATGTGCAGGTATTTGTTTACTGCATTTATCGGCGAACTAGGCTGTCTGTTTGCAGCTATTAGCTATTTTTCATTTTGGATAACTGTTTTCCGAAGTTTAGACGCGTGTTTAACCGTTTACCATCCGTTATTATTATTAAAAGTAAACACATACCATTTTCTAAACTTAATACTCCGACTACAAAAACTGTCATTACAAATTAATACTGTTATTTATACATTTATATTTTTAAAAAACTATATTTTAACCCATCTATAAGAAAACATTAAAGTTTATTTTTATAAGTTTTTCAAAAGAAAAACCCAACTTGACTTACGTCCTTGATTCGATTTATCGATCGCCTGTAAAACAAGTTCACTAATGCTAATCGTTGTTTGCGGTTAAATAAAAACTGGTAAATATGCTTGAATTTTTATAATTTTTGTTCTTTTTTTATAAATATTATTACTGATGTTTTACTTATGTTAAAATATAACACATTCTATCCTAGTTGAATATTTTATTTTATATAAATTTAAATATTAAATTTGCCAACACAACTATGTTCGGCTTAAATATCACTCCAATACTTTTAAATACGTATTGATTCACGGATCAAAAACTGTTTTAAAAGAATAAAAAATAATATATTTTTATAATAATAATAATTTTTGAATTTCAGTGGTGGTCACACCAAAACGGCCTTGTATGTGCTGTTGCTTAACAAATCCATACCTTTACATTTTTTTCTATTTTATTGAATAATTGAAATACTGTAGATGTGATATGTGTTACGATAAACGTTTTGTAGTCTTATAAAGTATTCAATTTGCTGTGTTAAACATACGAATTAATAAGAATAATATTATTTTACTTTTCGGTAGTCTCTTCCATATTATATCTTTTGAAATAAAAATCATTAACACGTTGACTGCCACTGTACTTTTAAGACTCCGGTTTTGAAAAACCAACTTAATTTAATTATATTATATTATTAAAAACTCTAGTTATAGTACATAGTAATCATCAAAAAGCGTACCTATAGAATGTGTTTTTTTTTTTTGCAAGTAAACAAAGTACGAAATAATTGGCGTCTTAGGCAATACCGCATACGAGTTATCTCGTAGTTGGCAGTTAACGTGTAAAAATTACAAAATATCGGTAGAATTGCTGGCTGATAGTATGCAGTTGTATTTTATGCAATGGTTAACCTATATGTTAACCTATTATATACCTATAATTACATATTCTAAAAGCTAATCAAATACATTTAAAAACATTTGAGCTAACTTAAATGTTGACTTTACAGTTTAAATATTTTACTCGTACTAATACTTGCTGTAAAATGTATTTAACACGATTTTCTAAAATGTCTAATTTTCATGTAACAATGTAACGTTTATAAATACGTTCTAGTACATATTATATAACAAAAATAATGATTTAAAACATATTATTGTATAATATATATATATACATTGTTTCATACATAAAAAAACCTTTTAAGTTATTTCATGGGGATTTATTAGTTTGTTAAATAAATATATTATGCTTACACAGTTGTGTGTGTGAAATGGTTATATTTTTTAATAAGCTGAACCGTTTGTTGAAATTTCATTTTTCATATAACTTCAATCAAAATTCTACAAATTGAAATGTTTTATTTCTACAAAAAAGTATTTACAAAATAAACCTTAAAAGGGACCAAGTGATCCATTCATTTTTACTGAAAAATAATTGCAGATTTATAATTTTTAAAAATCTATTGGTCCATGTTATTTTTAATATATTTTACAATTTTCAAACAAGAAATATTTATCGTTTTCAGTAAGCCTTCGAACTCTATCAACGTTTGAAACTTAAAAGGTAACATAAATAACTTATTGAAATTTAAAATAAAAAAATTCATACTTTTAGCTATCATTTTAGCTTTGATGCGAAGCTGAGAAGGTATTAACTGATAGATTTATTATTTTTTCTTAAAGGCACATGGCCCATTTTTGTGTTTAAAATTTGATTACTCAACGTGGCATCATAGTTTTTCTCATTCGGTCATTTTTAATACATTACTATCGCATTATACGATATTTTGTACATTAAACATTTTACTCTAAATCTATTACCAATACACTTAAAGTTGATCATATGGTCAAAATATTTTATCAAACAAATCTATTTTTCTAATAATGCTATTTAATTTTAGCTTAAATAATAACAAAATTGAAACTACATATTTTTTAAGTTACTTAATGTGTTTTAAATTGATTCAGATAATCTATCCAGAATTTAATTTACAGACAATCTCGTTTTGTATTATCATTCAGGGTAGGTATTAAATTGATTCTGATAAATAATATTTATAAATAAACCTTTCGACGAAATTCTGTTTTAAAATTAAGTGCCAATGGGAAAAATATTGTTTTCCTAAAAAAACATCATCATGGTCGACTACCTGAAAATAATATAATATAAAAACATTATAGTTGGCTGATTAGCATAATAATGGTTATGATTATTATGTTTATTTTGTATACGCGTAAGGAAAATATTTAAAAAAACATCTACAAATATATTGGTACGCTTTATAAAATTATAAATTCAAATAACTGGTTATATATTATGTTAGCCAATACATCAATTTCGAAATGAAGTAAAGTAATTCATTAACGACCCCTAAACAAATTATAACAGTTCGTTGTAAAATTGTACCTAAATAAATAAAAAACAATTTTAGAGAAAAACATTTTATGAAAAAAAGATTTAAAAAATAAAATTTTTTTTTTTTGAAAATCGTGCACTAAACGGCATAAAGTAACTTTCTAACTATTTTACATTGCATTATCATAAGCTTAAGTCAAAATTATAGTATATTGTGTCAACCAATATAAAATTATGGTAAAAAACGTACGAAAAAAATGGTTTCACATTTTAGATTTCTAGTTTGATCATTTATTTTGGTTATATAATCGTGAGCGCTTGCATTCTATGACTCAAATTGTGCTATCAATTGCTGACTGCATTTAATTTGAAAGCAGGTAAAATATTTAAGAATTACTTAATTCATTTTTTAGTCATTTGTCATTAAATTATAGCGTTAATTAAATGATTAATTAACTTTAAAACCTCGATCTTTGTAGTTAAAACTCAAAGTGGTTTTTTAGGTAAAATTATTTTAGAATATATGTTATATTTCTCAAAATATTGACTAAAAATATATTTTTAGACTTGAATCATGAGTTAAGGAAATATATAATATTCCATGAAATTGTTTTTACTTCTTCTACTTACAAAAGCATAAAGTTGACAATAAAGTAGATTTTTTTTTTGTTATTCTCATGCCACAGGTAAAACAATTTCTATAAGTAATTAATGTTAAAAAATGTGTTATGACTTATGATACGAATGAACGGCGGAACCCTACGGGTTATTTTTAGTCCACAGTTTTGGGGAGGGCTGTAGCCTGTATCTTCTCCAGAAATTTTACCTTAGTTGTGCCTATGGTTATAAGGCTGATTTCAAAGTGATATTAAGTGAACGAGGTTAACGTTTAATTATGAAAAACGGATATAAATACCGTTGTTCAGGAGAACTGTCAAACGGTGAAGAAATATGGATGTGCACCGTGAACACGTATTCCGCTACACATAAAAAACTAATACTAAAAAATAATATTATTTTTAAATCAAGTGGTCCATAATCATTAAAAAGTTTATGCAAATTTACTGAGCGACAACAAATTAGCCCTGCGGCTAAACGTAAAGCGGGAAATGATATATTAATATCTCTGAACGGCCTTCAAATATACTACATCAGTGTCTTACAGCAAGTTCAACGCGACATTTAGAGGTTAGTGTCATGAAGTTTATTAAAAAAATATGTCTAATGCTAAACACTGACTTCAACCGTCATTTTTAAAAGATAAGAGAAATATATATACTATATATATACCTGTTGGATGTACACTGCATGCAAAATAAAAAAAATATCGATTAATAATAAAATTATTTAAAGTATTCGTGATATTTAGCATCAACAAATATACTTTACATCTCGAGTAAAAAAAATGAATTCTGCGCAGTTTACTACCACCTTTTAAGCAAATAAAAAAAAAAGTAATTTACTATTGACCTAATTACTTAAACGCAATTTACAATCGCCTATTCACAGTATAATTGTGGTATTTCGATTTTAGTTAGAATCACCCTGGCAAGTTAAACATTTGAATTTTTTTTTCAAATGATTTATTTGTTTTTACCTATTTAATGGACAATACTTAGCTCAGCATTCAATTCCAGTGGTGTATTTACAGGGGACGATCAATGTAATATATCACCCACCGGAGTCTTAATTTTTAAAAATATATTATTAGCAATCTATTTTGTTGAATAAAAAACTCTTCTTGTTAACGTAGAAATTTTTTACGTATTATCACAAAAAAAAATAACATTTCATTATAATATTGCGTAAAGTGTTATACTTTGATAAAAAAAAGTATAGCAACGTACATTTTAATAATTGTTTTTTTCATTTAACGAACACTTTTTTCAAAAAACTTGTTCTTCTTGATATTCAAACTAGGTAATCAAAATTAATATAAATTACATTTTTTCCAAATGAATCTTAAACAAAACAAACTGTTACTAGTTAACACACTTTTATGCGGAGATTAAAAGCGGGTGTTTTCTGT